CCCGCCCCGCTCCCGGCCAAGGGGGCTTCTGGCCGCAGGCTGCGCGGGAAGGCCGTGCTGAGTCGCTGCAGCTGAGGCCAGTCCTCGCCGGCCGGCCGCGGAGGTGTCTGCCCCGGTCGGGCTTGAAGGCACTTGTTGAGAAAAAGACAGACGTGTCGGTGTTTGCCTCTACCCGGCGCGGGCGAAACGCTCTCTGAAGTTCCCTGGCTCTGCGCTCAAGGGCTGAGGCTGCCTCCCTCACCTGCCCCCGAGGCGCCTCAGGTCCCATTGCGGCCGGGCGAGAAGGCTGCGCCCCGCTCACTACCAGAAACTTTTATTTCCACAGATGTGAGGACTTGTCTTGAGACGCCGAGGCTTTATTAAGAACTCAAAACACTCCGGTCACTTCTGTAGTCTGAGTTAAAGCCCAGAGTTACGGCTTTCCCTGGGCACGTGACCGCTCTGTGAGCCTCAGTTGTAAAATGGGATTAGATATTTCACCTCTTATTGGATGCTAAGGGTAGAATGAAATGAAGTGTACTGGAAAACCAAACAGGAGCTTGGGCCCTGGGAGCAGAGACGGAGGGGCCCAGCCCGGAGAACCTGCTTTCCAGGGGCCCGAGGACAAAGAATCCTTCAAAGACGGACCAGAGCTCTGGGACAGGGCATTCCTCGAACCTGAGGCCTAGCTGCTCTTCTGTGTTGGTCCTTTTCAGTTCACTGAAAGGGTTCTCTAAAGGCTAGACTTGGGGTGGCAGGTCGCGTTTCCTGTTCTCCGATTGCTTGCACCTGCCTTGACGCTGGCAGGCATCCTTGGAAAGGGAACTGTAGCCCCTCACACAATCTGAATAGACAATGGGGTTGCAGACGGGTGCCTGATGGCTCTGGAAGGCACTTAAAACAGGCCTCTGAGGGGGCAAGGAGGGAACAGGGCACTTGAAAGTGTGGGTGTCTGGGGGTCGTGGGGTCTACAGGCTGGACAGGCATAGCTGGTATTCTGGCCAGGAGAAAGTTTTGGGTCTACGCAGTCGTGCCTTTCCTTGCATCATGAAGTTGCCTGTTCTCGTGATGAGCTTTGCTCCGCGTGCGTGCGTGCCTGTGTGTGTGTGTGTGTGTGTGTGTGTGTGTGTGTGTGTGAATTTTTCATATGGCTAACTTCATTATGAAGCCTTGTTTTATTAATGTCTAAGTTAAACTGCTTCCTATTCCTCTGCTCCTCCCCCACTCTCCCCACTTTCCACCCCAAACCATTTAGGCATTTCTTCTGGTCCTTCCTCTCTTTCCTGGATGTTTCACAGTGCTTCCTTCAAAGAGGAATGTGGCTCCCTGGTAGAAGCCTTCCCTGACCCACCGAGATCTTACTCTCTTCCGGCCCTCCTGTATAAACATTTGTTTCTGCCTTTCTTATGCTTGTTGCATTTGTAGCCTCCTTGTGGGGTTACGGGGCTCCTGTAGGTAGGCCATTACTTCCCTCAGTGGATTCTGTGCTAGGAGCTGCTGTAGCTGACAAAGCTCTGGTTCTGGAGTTAGAGTGACCTAGGCACACAGAGTTTGTCTCAGAAATTGGAAACCGGTGGAGAAGCCAGCCAACTTGGTTTCCCTTTTCTCATCTATAAAAGCAGATATGAAACGTTGTCCCGGGCCAGGTTGGCAAGGCTAAATCAGTCTCTTCTCTCCTCTTTCCCTTTTTATTACACTTAAAACTGATTTTTCCCCCATTAACTAAATTAATTCTTGTAGAATTATAGAATGGCTACAAATACTTGTTATAAACACACGAAAGTGTCTTAGGTCCTGGTCAGTGGCGCATTTAAATATCTTTGCCCAATTGGAAGTTTGTGTTCACTACAACTGAATTATGTTCATTTTAGTAAAACTTTCCACTAGCAACAAATTTTGGAATCAACAGGTTTAACTCTGTATTCGTGGTTACAAACACAAGGACTTCGAACAGTTGAAAATAGACATCTCTCCCAAAATGTATCTCGTTCCTGATACAGGGAATTAATAAGCCTAGATGAAAATCACTAATTAATCTCCTGCAGATTCCTCCAGAATCATGTATCTTATAGTACCATGTGACTTCCAAAAATCAGTCTTGACACCTACTGCACAGATTTGATGGGCTTCTCTGCCACCTCTTGGAAATATAAGCTGAAACCCGGACAGAGAAAGCGCTTGTGCATAAAGAAAACACCATGGTACAGGCTGGGGAGAGATTTCAAAGACCATGGTCCTATTCATTTCCTAGTCAGCAATGGAATCTGCACCATCCTCACCTTCTAAAGGAGCCTCAGCATCTTTATCTGGCAAATGAGGGCATCCTAAGACTCCACCCTCCTTTCTAAGTTCTCATTTTTTCCTCTCTGTTCTTCAGCCTGGCCATTTTCTTTTTGCATCTAGCTTCTTCTCTTAGCAGCAAGTAATAAAACACACTTCTTCCCTGACTTTGCCAGGGATTTAAAAAAAACAAAACAAAACAAAACAAAACCAAAAAACCCACACTACTAAAAAGGGCAAAATTGAGAAGGCACAAAATAAGAAAATCCTTGTGACCTAATCTTGAGGCAAGACTCAGCTCTCTGGGGATGAGGGACCTTGTTGGTTCCTTTCCCAGGTCCTTTCCCAGGATGGATGTGCTATGACTCCCTACCCTGAGAATCAGACACAAGTGCAGAGAGGGGATGGCTGGTTCAGTGAGGGGAAGCAGTGCAGGTGGGGGCTGTAGGGATGGAGGGCCAGTGCCTGTCTGGTGAGCAGTTGTTATTCTGCTTGTCATCAGCTGGGAATGTGGGCTCAGTTTTGCCAGATTTCCTGAGTTTTCAAGAGAAGCTGCAAAGGTTTTGATATTTAAAATTTGGCAACTAATTCAAGTTTTTGATAAATATACTGTGAGTCAAACAAAATGTTTGCAAGCTGAATTTGGCCAAGGAACCAGTCATTTGTATCTTTTCCCATGTAGTGAGGGCTTCTTGAGGTCTGGGCTTGTAGTACATAGTAGATGTGCAGCAAATATTTGTAGAGTGGCCATTGTTTCTGCTAGGCCAGGGCTCAAAGCCACCTGAGTTTGCAACAGAATTCTCAAAATCCACACTGAGTTTAGAGTCAACCTTGTGTTGGAGTCAAAGCCCACAAAAAAGTTGGCTAAATTTCTAATATTTACACCTAGAAGGCCCTTTCTAGTACTCACAATTCTATTAGATAACTTCTTCTTTGGAAAGTAATTTTCTGAAGCATTTTCTCCTGGGGTAGGGGTCGGCTAACAAATGAATTTAAAAACAAACTAGCCGGGTGTGGTGGTGCACGCCTTTAATCCCAGCACTTGGGAGGCAGAGGCAGGCGGATCTCTGTGAGTTCAAGACCAGCCTGGTGTACATAGTGAGTTCCAGGACAGCTGGGGCTACAGAGAGACCCTGTCTCAAAAAGACCAAAAGAAAAAAAAACAAAAAACAAATTAAACTAAAAAACATTTTAAAGCACTGGAATCATTGTATTTGATAAAACCCCTCACAGCGGCTAGAAGGTGTGGGCCTTAAGGACAGGAACATTCTATTACTTAGGGGAGGGAAGGCCGGTAACTTGCCTAAGGAGATAGCCGCCTCACCTGAGCCCACCAGTGGAAGAGGGGGAGGAGGGAGGA